CTGCCTGTGTTCCCTCTCTCACTGTCTCTCTCTCTGTCAAATAAATAAATAAAATCTTAAAAAAAAAAAAAAAGACAAATACTTGTAAAACATAATAATGTGACTCTTCTGCTTAAAAGTCTTTGAAAGCTCTTCCTTGCCAACACTGATGTTTTATTATTTTTAAAAAGATTTTATTTATTCATTTTAGGGAGAGAGAGAGAGAGCGTGTGCACATGCAAGCAGGAATGGGAAAGGGGCAGAGCGAGAGGGAGAAAGAACCTGAAGCAGATTCCCCGCTGAGCGCAGAGCCGGACCCGGGGCTCGATCCTACAACCGCGAGATCATGACCTGAGCCGAAACCGAGAGTCAGACGCTCAACCAACTGAGCCACCCAGGCGCCCCAACACCAGTGTTCTAAAATGTAGGTCTTATGATTATTTGGGTATGGTGAGGCCAACAGATCAGCAATTGCTACTGAACTCACAGTTCTCAAGAGGAGGGGCCTGCCTCGCCACGCAGGGCCATGCAGGGCCACGCAGGGCCACACCGGGAAGAGCAGGGTGGGTCTGGAGCCGGTGGGAGCCATGGTGGAGGGTGGGCAGCAGCATTTATGGTGGTTTCCTCAGGAAAGCCCAAGCCAGGCAGGGTAAGCAGGCTAAGAATTGGCTTGTTTCAATAATTTCAGTGGGCTCTGGGGTGCAGAGGTTATGTCCGTCGTTGGTACCTGCCCTTCGGGTGATGAGGGCGGAGTCGTATAGCCTGGGCTGTAGGAGCCACAGAGAGGAGGTGGTGGGTGGGGGCGCTCGGCTTGGTTGGTTTGTGTGGGAAAGGTGAGCTGTGTCAGTCAGCAGGACCTAGGTGCCGGAGCATCAGGAATTCCGAAAACAAGAGTTGATACAGCTGGTTTGCAGGAAGGGGCAGGTGCTCTGGAGCAAGAGGGCGCTGGTGCGCATTTCGGGAGCTGCTGCGTTTGGCCCTCGGAGGGCAGCACATTAGTAGATTGAGCCTTAATCTACTAAATGAGGGGAATCCTGCTTTAAAGAAACCTGTTAGTCTTCATTTAACAGTCTTGTAAGCTTGTTTAGCCATAACATTCTTTTGAAAAACATAACATATAGTTTTAAAGGTATCGCGAATATGGTCTCATAGACTTAGAATCTGGACTTTGCTTTGGCCACAGTCTGGCACTCATCTTCGCTCATGGGGTTTCTAGTAAGAACCATCCAGGCTGGTTTAATTAGAGTCAACATAACGAGCTTTCCTCTTTCCTGCCTCTAAGCTCTGCACAAACCGGTTTCCCCCTTGCTCAGGAGTGTACCTCGTGCTCTGCCCCTAATGCAAGGCTTTCGAGCATCAGCTTCTCTGTGAAGTCCTTGCCAAGCTTCCCAAACCCACAAATAAATGCTGCGAACCATGTGCTGGGTACTCTTCTAAGCACTTCAACACATTAACTCACTTAGTCATCATGATAGTCCTAGAAGGCAGGCACTATTTGTATCCCTATTTTATGGATGAAGAACTGGAGATGCAGAGATGTTGAGAGACTTGTCCAGGGTCACAAAACTAAAGCTATTCAGGATGTCGTTGGCATTGCCTTAATGCTATTTGAATATTCTGTGCTATTAATTGATTAATGCTGTTTGAAATTTCTGTGGGGATTAGGTGGATACCCTCTGATAGACGTGTGTACATTAATGTGTACTTTAAATCAGAGGGAAGGAGTCTCTCTCTTTTAACATTCTGGAACTTTATTTAGACTGTTCATTCAGAATTTGTTCAGAATCATTTAAAAGGAATTTTAATTTACAGTTTACTTTGGCTTAGCAAGGTGATTTCCGAGTCCTTCCTCTGAGAGAGTATAAGTGCATCAGTAAATAGGAATGCAGGGAAAATTTTAAAACCACTTAAAAACGCACTTTGTAATACTAGTTTTTTGAATGCACAATACCATCCTACTAACTCAGTCTTACATACTAATTACGGTGAACATTTTCAGAACTGTCTCAGAATAAGGGTTCAACCAGGAAAGCAGGACCAATAGGAGATAGATACTAAGAGATTTATTGCAAGGAATCAGGTTATGTGATCGTGGGGCCGGCTGGTCACATCTGAAATCCACAGGGCAAGCTGGGAATTCTGGAACATTCTGAAGGCATTGTCCCCAGCCAGAATGTCTTCTTCAAGGAAGCCTCAGTCCTATTCTTAAGGTCTTTCAACCAACTGAATCAGGCTCATCCAGATTACCTAGGAGAACCACCCTGAATAAGGTCAACTGATATGGATTTGATTTGCATCTACAAAACACCTTCACAGCAACCTCTGAACAGGTGTTTATATAAGATTTTTAAAATTTATTTATCGTATGAGAGAGAGAGAGAGCGAGAGAGAGCAGTACAGAAGGGCAGTGGGAGAGAATCCCAAGCAGACTCCATGCTGAGCCTGGAACCCAACACCGGGCTCGATCTCACAATCCTGAGATCATGACCTGAGCTGAAATCAACAGTCAGCTGCTTAACCGACTGAGCCACCCCGTCACCCCTAGACTGGTGTTTGATCAGATAACTAGAACAACCATAGCCTTACCAGGTTCATACATCAAAGGACTGTCCATCCCAAGAGAACCTTTAGTAAGCACCATGTTGTCTCTTTTATGTTCCTATTTGTATTTGAAAAGAAAAAGTAGTTTCTTTAGAAATATCCTATAGAATACATAAGAGGTTTTAATCATTTAGATGAGCTTCCCATCAGTTGGCCTGAGGCATATGACTGCTTTTCTGTCATCTTCTGATCCACTTCTGCTCAGGCCTCTCTCTCTTCATGGTCCTG